AATCAAAATATCTATCAGGAATGTATAAAATATATTCGGCGCAAAAATAAGATACATAACAAAGAACCTACGTAAATTTTAAAAGTTATATTTACATAATGACTAAATACCATATGAAAAACTATTGAGTTATATATGCTATAAATATTCTCCCCTTCATTTGTGTTAAAAAGGTGCTATGGTTAATATTAAATTTTAAACAAAATGCATCTCTCCGTAAGGTTTTAATGATGTAAATGGCAGACTGTATTAAAATTTTCGCATGTTATATTTTAAACAACTAGAATGGGCAAAGTAGTGCTATTTTATGAAAATTTCAAATGCTATCAATGTTTTGTGAGAAATTTTCCTTTTTTAAAGTCTAAATGCTTTATATTTAGTATTTCTTTAAAATTATTTACAGCCACTAACTTTATTGATATTATTTTTTACATATATATTTTACATTCTTCAGCTATACATACATTTTCCACACTAGTCCAAATTTCAAGATTAGAAGGCCTTCCTTTTCAGAGGCCCACCAGCGGCCGAGCGGTAAAGTCGCTGAACACTGGTAGTTCGGTCCGAGGTTCGAATCCCGCGAACCGGCTGGCTGCATGAGCGTTTTCGTGGTTTTCCCCATGTGTAACGACTCAGTTTTCTTAGAAAGTCCTCCCCTTAGGCAGATAGCCCTACTGTGCTTTCCCATAATTAAATACGCCACACCACCTTCCTTTTCAGAGGAAATTAAAAATTTTCTTCCGAGATTTTTCGAAGACTGCATTTCAAATTATTGACATTTCAAATAAGCGATGAACATGCAAGTAAAACTTTTAGAGAATTTTGTAGACTTTTCATCTTCATATTTCAAAACGAAATTATGAACACTGCAACTAACATAAATTATTAATATTATATCAATCATCATTAAGACATTAGTTGTTAATTTGAAGATACGCTCTAAGCACTTTATTTTAAAATAGGGCGGTACGGTATGTCATGACTTTTCAAAATCAGCCAATAAACAGCATACAGTTCGCTGTAAAACGATGTAGCGTGGTTCCAAATTTTTTATTTTCGATTCCTAAATACCCTTGATGCACAATAAAACTCAACTTAATACTGAAAATACTTCTTTTAAATATGCTATATACAATTATATCATTATGTTTTTTCTAATTATTTTTCACAAATTCATAAATATATATTAAATTATTTACCGTCGAATGGCGCTGCGTTTTGGGTAGCATCAGCCTGCTGCGCAAACTAACTTATCATATCCTCATTTTAATTCTTTAACATTTCCAATATGTAACTAATTTTAACTAAAATATGGATATGTGAATTTTTTTAATATTTTCCCCAGGAATATTCAGTTTCAAAGACGTTGTTTATACCAACGGATAAAATTAAAGGAACAGCTATAAAAACTCGTATAACTTTAATGATTTTGTAGCTAAGAACATGTAACTTGCTCAAGAATTTTAAAGGTATGTTGGGTATGACAAAAAATTTTATTTTGTCATACCTAACATACCTTTAAAATTCAGAATTGTCTGTTTCTGAAAAAATAAAAACAAAGAATGAAGGAAGTATGATATTGTGGGTATAGGGAAAAGTTGGAGTTGCAACTATTTTTAACGATACATCAAAAATTAATAAAATGTGTAATGAGACATACATGAGAGAAATGCAAACTGTACGACAATTTTACATTCTATGTATTAGAGTATCGACCCGTTCCTGCAGTAACAAAGTGCGTTAGCGATGCATAGAGTCTTCAGCCTTCAGTATCATCAGATTCGACGTTGAATGCTACTGTATCATACAGTAACATACAGTCTGTATGTAACACGTTAGGTTTTTGCTTCTGACTGATTGTATGTTTTGTTATAGCTCATGCATATGCCACTGATAAACAAGATAAGTCCGAACTAGGTCTTTTATGGAAGAACCATTTTGATGAAATTAAGAAAGGAAACAAATTTTCTCACGGTCATTTATGAAAATTCACTTAACGACAATCCCGTTCCTAATGATCTGGACTTGGAACATGTTCGTCCAGAATCACTGAACATTAAGATGATGGATCGCAAAGCAGAGCTAATGCAAATCAAGATGGAGAGGCACTTCACTCATGATGAACAAGATGAATTTCGTGAATTACAGCAACAGAGTAATTGCATTCTTATGACAAATCTCCTCAGCAACCGACGAAGGCTCGTTATAAACGACAAGTGCTTTGCTCCTGCGAAAACTCCAAAACCTAAAGCTACAGTGGAAACCACGCGTATTTCCCCAGACATAAATCCTTTCGACACTTTGGAGAACCGTTCTAGGGTACAAAGGATATGATTATCATAGTTCCTGATCCCACCCCAACACCAAGTAAGGATCAGTCTCCGCCTATAATTTGCCCAGTACTAGATGTTGCAGAAAAGAAGATCCGATCATTTTTTGAGAATAACCGCATCGAAGACATGTTCGGTACTTTGACTAAGGAGGAAATTAAGACAATGTTCACCTTAAACTCTATGCGAGAGAGAGCGTAAGGTTGCTTGATGAAAAACGACATTCATATTAAAACCACCTTTCATATTAAAATCCAGGCATCGTTAAAAAGTTATCACAAGAGAACTTCCAGTTGAATCAGGCAATGATAATATCAAAAAGGAAATATGTGACTTGGAATATACAGTCATAAAACGTAAAACAGTTTTTCAAGAGAACTAAACAGAAGTAGAGATATTTCTTGTAATTTTCGTCGAAGTTCTCGGAATGAAATAGAAAGAAGTATTTACAACCTGAGGAAACTGATGTCCCTCATTTTCAGCATCTGCAAATTCTGCCTAGAAAAGACTGCTATAATCTGTATCAGATCACAAAGCTTCGGCCTCAGTCATATTTGGCTGCAGCAATGTGCTTCGTTGAAGTGCCGACAAAACCTGTTAACCTATACCTGTCAATTACTCTGACATCGGGAAGCCTAGATGCTTGTGATGCGAGGTAAATAATTTACTCATCTCCAGAAATTGCCCATTTTTTCCCCAAATTAAATCTTCAAAATATCAAGAGAAACTCCCATTAGCCAAGCGAATTGCAGATAATCCTTCTATGCATATACCGAAGAATTTCGCAACAAGGCCTTCTCCAAGACAGCAAACTTCGAGAATTATTGTATAAAATCACAGATGCAATAAAAGTGAAAAAAAAGCAAAATCGCGTATACAAAATTATAAATTGCACTTGAACTTGTACGAATGGTCGAAAATGATTTCAAAAATTAAGTCTCCACTTTACCATAGGATGATTCGTGTCCTACCATCACGTGGCATGATTTCCTATTTCTTCCACAATCAGAACCCAGCTTAACTCGTTATGCTTTCAACTTTTATTTTTCAAACGATGTTTTTCGAACTCTAGGGCAGTGCTCCGCAACCGGTGTGCCGCGGCACACTGGTGTGCCATGAGTAGGATATAGGTGTGCCGCAATCAAATACATGTATTTGACATTTTGCAATTTTTTATCATGTATTTAATACACAATGACAATTTTTTTTCCTTAATAATGTCTATTTAAAATGTTTTTATATATTTCACTGTTGTGTGGTTGTGTGTGTGATTGTAAGTGTGTCAGCATTTGAATATAAAACTTTTGTGTTCATTGAAGCAAGCGCAGGTATCACATTGATAATTATTATGATTGCATACAAATAAATATGTTATGGTTTTATAATTGTATATTTTTAAAATTAAAAACAAAAATTTATTGTAAATTTTGTGTATAAATCAATACATATATACATTAGCTTTTGGTGAGCCACGAAATTCCAGAAAGATTTTTTGTGCGTCGCAGGTGAGAAAAGGTTGCGGAGCACTGCTCTAGGGTAAAAGTGTCTTTTCTTTTAGCGAAAAAATGCCTGTATAAATAGTAACTAAGCATTCTGAAGGCTGAAGAGTACTTTGTCGCGATCTTCATAAAGAAAAACGAAAGTCATAGTCAGGTAGTATCTGCAGTGATGCAAGTCAGTGCCCTAGTGCTTCCCCACACATATTTTGTCCGTTTAAATCTAGAGAATATGTGGATTACGCCATACGCTGGATTATTTCGCTCTCAAAATAACGGGTCATTAGTGCACGGAAACAGCATTATCGTCCATTAGAAGGAAGTTGTTGCCGATTTCACCCCACCGCAAATTAGTATAAGGATCAAGAATCTTATCTCTATATATTTCAGCATTCATAATTGCACTCGAGTTCAGTCTACAGACAAGGTAATATTCTTCCAAGTCAAACTTTTCTTTCTCCGACTTTTAAGAGAATGACATATCTTATCTATCTGTTCAGTAACGACATTTTATCCATAAAAGTAGCAGAAACTTTGATTTGAAGAAAGACATCCACGTTACCACGCTGGTTGACCTTAGTCGAGAAAAGAAAACCTTTTAGTATAGTAAGCTTAGCTGCACTAATAAAAAAAGAAGTCCGTGCAGCCATTCAAAATGATTATCCGCTTATACCATGATTTCACCATCACTGTACAGATGCCTTTCACGGATGTTTTCAGGCTTATTGCATGTGTTTTGCTTCGTCCAAAATGTAATATGTCTGGAATCACTTTTAAAAAAAACCGACACTCCAGACCCCAGTTACCGTTTTCTTTTAGCAGTCATTGCCAGATAATAGTCCTGGGAATCTACGGTACTACTTTATAGTCATTCCTTTTATTTTTCTCTCCCCTTAGGCAGATAGCCCTCGTGTGCTTTGCCATAACTGAATAATCCAATCCATCCTTTTATTTTTCTCGCCCGTGTACTTAGATAGTGCAAGGAAAACGAAACGTTTTAGAATCATAAATAGTATTAAATATTTACTGATATATTACAACTAGAATTTCTATTGGTGTTATAAACTGTCTTACCAAATTGGAAATTACAAATTAAAAAAAATAATGGCAATTTTTTAGTTTATTTATGTTTAGTGAAGAAATGTTACTAATTTAAATATTACTTTATTCATAGTATACATATACGGATTGCCAATGCTTAGGAAAAAATGTAACTGCCAAAAATGGATTTTGTCCTCTTCAATGCAACAATCTGACTTGGTATATTGTCATTTTCTCGATTTTTGTACTCATTCATTCCACATCAGAAGTTGGATCCATGCTTCTCACATTGAGGTAAAGTGGACTGCATTTAAAATTTTTATTCTGCGTATTTTAATTTAAAATATTTCGTTATAATGATGTGGGGTATACGTTAATTAATTAAACCAGTAAACCCTATGCACGAAATATGTTTCAGAATTACTAAGAGCTATTTTGTATATTAACTGTTATTTGCTAACTTTTACTATTTTTTTCTGCCTAGATGTGTTGATCCCAAAGACAAGGCTATGGCTTTAGGATTGATATCTTTCGCCATTGGATTATTTGGTATGTATTTACTTCTTTCATTCAAGAGAAATGCATAACTCCGTGTTAGTTATTCTGTTAACCTTATATTAGCTATGTAATCTGGAAAAGGTAGCAAGTAACAGACGTCATATATTTCTGTTTCCAGAAGACCAGACTTTAGAGCTTACACACAGCAGATTATTGCATTATCTCATAAGATTAAGTAATTTAGTTGGCGGGCGTACATTAAAAGTTAAAAATCATGAGCACTAAAAAAATAAGGATGCAATTATTGTGGATTATAAAAGGAATAAATTATTGTAGTCTAACGTTTAAAATAAAAGTTTTGGCCATACTACATTCCTATATATTCTTAATACACGCTGTGCAGTCTATGTGTAGTATGTAATTTAGTTCATAGTATGTTTAAGGGAAAAATTAAAGGTTCAAGTCAAATATCTACAGATTTTAATTATGATATATAGTATGTTACTGTGAAAGACCGAAATTGGAGAATGTCGACTTTTACCAGAAAATGTCAACATTCACCATATACGTCGGTGAAAGATTGAATATTGCCTTACATTCTTGTACATTCGGACCCTCATCGGTGTATGTCGACAATCACAGATATGCTCTGGTGTAGGTCGAAAAGAGAGGAGTATACGTACACGCTGTCATTGCAAAAGGAAGTGTTCCAGAAATAAATGCAGCTGTAAAAGAAAGGGCCTCTTGTGCAATTCAAAGTGTCATAATAGTTTAAGTTGTTGCAATAAATAAGATTTTAAACACATAAAGTTTTTTGTTTCTACTATTTTATTTTATCATTTAGAACGTACTGTATAATTAAGTAAGTTTTTAACTTCTAATATTTTCCTTTCTCATTTTGAATGTATTGTGTTTTAAGTTCTTATGTTCTTATTTTAAGTCTGAAGTGCGTTTTTTCGCGACTGAATTACGGAGAAGAAAATATAATATTCTTATATGTTCAACATTCACCATTAGTACATGGTGAATGTCGACATTTAACGGTGTAAGTCAGAAATAAGAGTATTTGGAAAATATTTCGGACATACACCAAGGGACTATGTGAATGTTCACATTCGCCGGTGAAAGTCGACATTCTCCAGATTTCGATGTTTCACCGTAACATAGTATTTATTCCTCGTTGCATGTGAGGGAGCAAATAATAATCATTAAAAACTGATTAATATTATGTCATGATTCTAAGTTGATTATTTTCTATTATAAATATATCTTGAGTTAATAAACTATGATGGTTCCCATTCTATCCTAAGAGTATATATCCCAAAAATATACAATAAGCTAAATACAACTATTTTTTTAATCAAAAGGACATCGCCTTATTGAACATGTACAAAATTTGTGACTCTTTTGTGACTCATAAAAAAATTTAGAATTTTACTTTCAGCAAATTTCCGGCCATTAAGCTATGGAAAGATTAGACAATCTTCCAGTTAAGTGGGGGTCAGTCTAATGAGGTTGTACTTCCACAGACATCTTTCGTTAATTTTATATTATATATGCAATTCAATAGATGTATTAAAGAGCATAAAAATTAGAAAAATTAATCATTGCAGGAGACAAAAAAGACAAACTTTCTCAATTAGTACATTTAAAGTCAGATTCGTTAAGAAGTATTACACATTATTAAGGAAAAAATTTGTATAATTAATGATCGTTACCAGTTGTTCTTAAGCAAATAAGCATAAAATGAAAAGAAAATATATTAAAAGAAGCACATTTAAAAAAACAGTAAGAATAGAAATGTGTAATTTGGAAATAAGGAATATAAAGGAAAAAGATTTTTAAAATGTTGAAAAGAATGAGAACCTGAAGTCAGTAACAGAATATGTGCAGTGTCAAATTTTTTAGTTCCTTTTTAGGTTTGGAAAGACTCGTATACTGAGATTTGTGCATAAATAAGCATTTTAACTTGTATTTATATTTTTAATTTTAAGAATAAAAATTTAGTCAAAATATCTGTTGAACTGAAATGTGGAACGAGAACTATTGCAATAAATTAACTAAAATAAGTATAATAAAATTTAAGTCAACTAGAACATTTGTAATTCGTTTGATCCATTTAAAAGATTTTTATTTATTTACATATTTTATTGTCTTTTTATTTAAATAATGCAAAAAGACAAAATATTGTAGTACAGAAATATATTTAAGGAGCTATTAAATTGATTTAGATCTATGTGCAATACGTGTTTCATTGTAGCAATAAGAGTGTTATACACATTCATTCAATTCAGTAGCATGTCACATTTCAATAACATGTTGCCAAATGTGTAGCTTTCAATAACGCGTGATGACAGAACATTTGGCAAATGTGTAACCTATTAACAGAAAAGAAGCTACATATTGTATATGGACTTACTGTTGATTTCTGCTGCGTGAGTCTTCATCATAAAAGTGCTATTTAAAAAAATATATTGCATGTTTTAAACTATTTATGTATTTGCATCAATAAAATATACCGTTTTTATTTAGTTTTAGTTAAGTAGCAACAGCATATGCGATCTGCTTTACGCAAATATTTCTTTGTTTAATTTAAGTAAAAATAAAATTAGATTGTATGTTCAATTTTAAAAGTATTGGATTTAGTAAATAAGAATGAAGTTATTTGTTTTGATCATGTATTTCATCAATAGTTTACTCTTCGAAAAGCTTGTAACAGTTGTTTACTTAATTTCTTTGTAGGTAATGTGCCGTGCCCTGTGATTTATGGTGCAGTTGTTGATTCAACGTGCCTTTTCTGGGAAGATAACTGCGGCGATCCTGGAGCATGTCGCCTTTATGATCCTGAAAAATTTCGTATGATGTTTCATGGTTTGACAGCGTTCATCATGCTCGGAGCCTTTTTTGTGGACTCGATTGTCTGTTACAAAGCATCATCAGTACGGTTCCATGATGACGAAGGGCCTGTCGAAGTTAGGACACCACCATTGCCTGCACCACCTCAATCTGAATCTGCTGTCTGAATACAGAACTCTAATGCCGTCTGATTATCTAAAAGTACTACTGGTGATATTGTCATAGTACTAATGTTGCATTTTCATTATTCTTCAGAGGCAAACATACATTCATATAACATGGAAAACTGATTGACTATTTTGTATTTGTTATGATGTGCATGTGCTTTCCTGTTCCTTTTATCAGAATCAAAAGAGAACATAATTTCAAATTTATTTTTAAAAGATAGGATGAGTGTCCTATAGTTAAACTGATTTAAACTGTAAAAATTCGCTTGGAATATGTGCATTAAAAGAAAATGCAGATATATCTTAATATATGTACAAATTCTCTTCAAGAGGAAATTACGTCTTCGAAAAATGATTGAAAGAAAGCCATTTTGTTTTTAATTTATGCTCCAGATTTATTGTCTCCATGGGCATTTTATTCTGGAAGTGTACTTACTAAACTAAATAAATCTTACTTAAAGTACAACAGATGGATTCTTTTTTTTTTTTTTTTTTGTTGTTTTGTTTCTTTTTAACCCCTACCACCTAAGAGTTTAACTAACCATTTTTTTATTTAACCACATGTCTGTTGATCTATATTTAAAAGAATAAATTAAAATGCTGTCTTAAATAATTTAACGCTTTTATATTTTTAACAACGCATGCATAAGCTCTGAATATGCTTATTTGTTTGCTTTCGCTACGAACTGGACAATTAACACACGAACTGGACAGCTAAACCTCAGCAAAGGGCTGATAGGCAGATCCAGTGGTTTTTATTGTATTAGTATAATGGGATTATAGCAACTGGTATATTTCAAACGCTGTTAAAATATAGATGCATTCACTAAATAGGTACAACTATAAATTAAGAGCGGTTGTTTAAACATTAAAACTAACAAAAATGCAGAGGAAAAGCACTAAAATTATTAAAGGAAGCATTTATAAACATGAAAAACTAATTAAAGCCTATTATAATAATTAAACAATAGGATTAATAAATATTAATAATTAATTAAAATCGATTGTAAAAACTTAATAGGATTAATAAATATCCAAACGGTATTGCATTAAAAGAAATATCATAAATGGTATAAATCATAATCAGACGTTGCTGAGTTGTTTGCTCATTGTTGAAAATTTGATTCAAGTAATGAGGGAATAACTTTTTATTTATCATCTTATATTATCACACTTTATTTAGAAATTTACGTGTTATTCCAAGGCCCGGTGGCGCTGTGGTTAGCGCGTTGCGCAGCAGCACCACAGGTGGAGGGTTTCGATACCTGGGCTGCGCAGTGTTAACACAGCCTTTCATCCTTTGAGTGGGTCCATAAAATGAGTACCAAGTTCGGTTAGGGACTAAACACTAGGGTCCTGCGACAAGCTGATCGCTTGTCCAGGGCATATGCTTATGCACCCCAGGGGACACGGCCAGAAAAGCAGATATCGGGGCACTGCGGGGCATGGCCCGCTAAGGCTGTTGTGCCACTGAATGTAGTTTGGTTTAGGACAGGGGTTCCCTAACTTCTTCAGTTGGCGGCGCACTTGCAGGTTTAGTATTTTGTCACGGCGCCCTAGTCATGTTCAATGAAGTGTTGAACAAGGTTTGTGCTTTACAACATGCTTACTACATAGTGTCATAGCAAATAACACTTCATTCAACACGACTCTATATTAATACTAGCGACCAGACACAAAAATGAAAACAACCACAATCTGAGGCTCATATATGTATATGTTGAACTGGTACACAAGAATATTATATTATCATTATTAAAGCAAAATAGGAAAAAATCAATTGGACAGGGAAGCGTGCTAATTTCCACAAAGTTTTTTAAAGCGAGGGATAAGACTTGACATTGCCACACTCATTTCTTGCTCCCCGTTGATTGTTGAATAATATTTGCTCTTTATTAGAGCTGCAGCTGAAAATCCGGTTTCTCATAAATATGATGTTGCAAAAGGAATGAGAATCCTTAAAGCATTGGAACTTAGAGTTGGATGTTCATTTTTGATGGTTATCCAAAACATCACCAAACTGGAACAAGCGAATTTTTTTAAGGTTGTTGTCGCAAGATAGTTCAACAAGACTTATAAGGTATTTCTCCCACTTCACTAGCGTGCCTTCGTGGTGTAACGGTAGCACGTTGGGCCGGTATTCCAGAGGTCCGTGGTTCGATTCCCGGCGAAGGCGGTTGCATATTTTTCATCTTTTCTGCTTCCAATTAACCTAATGACTCTACAGACTCTCTTCTTCTTGTGAAGTCAATTCTGGTGGATCTTGAACATGGAAAGGATTTTGTATCCACGAATATTTCTTGATATTTCTTCCGGAAAGTATTTTTCGAAGTGTTCAATGAGCTTCGAAATGTGTTCCGTGAAAAGAAACAGCAATTTTTTAGAGACAACGAGCTCATTAGAGGACGCGTATTTATGCAATTCGGAGAGGCAATTTTGCCCGCCATCCTCATTAATTTTTCTTATCCACAACTGCAGGTTTCTTTTAAATGCCACAGTCTTCTCCAATAGTTTCAAGATTTGCATATTATTGCTTTGTAGAGACACATTTAAGGCATTCAGTTTGTCAAATATATCGCACAATATGCCAGTTTTAGTAAAAGGTTTGTAGTTTGCATGTCCTTCCTCTTGCAGAAAAGTGTGAATTTCTTGATGTAGTTCGAATGCACGGTATAAGACATTTCCACTTGAAAGCCATTGTGAAGTGCAATAATATAACAGTGTTCAGCTCCCATGTCCATGCAGAGTTTTTTGAATAGTTTGGCTTTCAGCTGCCTAGTTTTTATGTAGTGTACTACATCTATGACACGTTCCAATACCAAATTCAATTCACAGCTCATCGATTTCGATGCAAGTGCTTCCATATGGGGGATGCAATGGTTCCACATAGCATGCGGTGCTCGCGATGAGCGCTCGAGACAACTACTGTCGATGCGACCCACAGTCGAATGCGGGCTATTGGAAATTGGCTTCTTCGCGTTAGCTAGCAAAGAATTCGACGTTGCCAAACCCAAACCGAAGTCCGTACGCGGGAGGAGAGCGTGTTGTTGGTTTCCTACAAGAGAACGAGAGATTTAGGCTGCGCATTTCAACTTAGATTCCGTAAAAGAGTAAACAGGAACACCTCGCGGCACCTCTGTTTACTCTTCACGGTGCCCCAGGGCTCCGCGGACACACTTTGGGAACCCCTGGTTTAGGACGTTATCCCTGTTACATATTACTAAGAGTTGTAAATTTTCAAAAGCATATTTATGGCATTTGTCAAGTGAGAAATGTTTGAATTGTGAAAATGACCTTTCGACATAATTTACTTCATAAGAATGTACAGTGGAACCTCGAGATATGAGTTTAATTCGTTCCAGCATTGAGCTCGAATAGCGAATTTCTCAGGGCTAAAGAAAGAGAAGGGCTGGGTCATCCCTTTGAGAAGAACGATGCCGACACGAACCCCTCTTGGGGAGGATACCGGATGTTATGTGACGTCACTGGGTTCGTCCCGTCGTCGACTGACCAGAGCATCAATGCGAAAGATTGAATCTTTAGTTCTTGGATTCTCTTTCTTTAGTTTCTCTTTCTCTTTAGTTTTTCTTTCTTTATTATTCTTTATTATTTTCTTTCTTTATTCTCTTTCTTTCTTTAGTTTCAGAGAAAGAGGTTTTTTTTTTTTTTTTTTTTTTTTTTTTTTTTTTTTTTCTTGAAAGTTATAACTGATGATAATTTTAAAGGGATTTTGTATTTCGAAAGTTCTTGTAATGAGAAATCATTGAAAAAATGGTATCGTGTGCCGTTGCTACCTGTAGCAATACGTATCATAATACGAAAACTAGCGTGGTATTTCATAGATTTCCGTGCAAAAATATTCAGTTAACGAAAGAATGGTTGCATAGGTGTCGAAGAGCGGATATTGTTAACACAAAGAGTGCTCGAATATGCAGCATTCACTTCACTGAATCTGATTATGAGGATGATATGAAAAATAGGTTGCTAGGATTACCGACAAAAAAGATACTGAAGTCAACTGCTATTCCAACTGCTTGTATTCCTGACTTGGTTATTTATCAGAATACACCAAGGCAGCAAAGGCAACAAAAAAAGAAAAAATTACAAAGTGCATTTGAAATGAATTCAGAATTTAAGTCCTAAAAAGGCATGTCTGGAACTTTCAAAACGATAACAATAATAGCTATGAGGAGCTCACTGAAAATAATATTACTCAGCAATGTTGTAACTGTTCCAACCTCCAGAAAAATGTGAATTGATTTAATCACAAAATTATCAGCTCTTGAGAATAAGGTTTCTGTTTTACAGACTGAGAGAAAGCAGCATTTAAAAACTATCTCCGAGCAAAGAAAAAGATTTAAAAGGAATAGAAAACTAATATTAGAAGAAGTTCAGAAACTGAGGAAAGACATTAAAAAAGTGAATCAAGAAAATGAAAAACTAAGAAAATGAAAAACTTATATTCAAAATATGAAAAAAAAATTAAAATTCAAAAATTAAAAAAACAAACAAATTACCGAAACTCAAATAAATGCATTAATGAAAAAAAGCGAATTAAATGGTCTCCAGGCGATATTTCAAAAAGCATAGTAATCAGATCGTTATCCGTAAAGTCATACGACTTCTGGAAAGAAAAAATGGGTATTCCGCTTCCAAGTGCAAGTACATTGAAAAGATGGTGCTCAAGATTCAGTTGAATTCCCGGCATTTTAAATGATGTACTGTTATTGATTAAAAAAAAAAAAAAACTTGCCAAAATGCAACTGACGAAGAAAGATTATGCGTATTAAGTTTCGATGGAATTCATATAGATTCAAGACTCTGTTATGATTCAAAATTGGATCAGATATTAGGTCCTTTTAAAAAAGACTCAATTTGTATTGGTTCGAGGACTCATTTCGCAATGGAAATATCCCATTTATTTTGATTTTGATCGTCAAATGAAGGAAAATCTTCTGTCTTCCATTTTGTTTGCACTTGAATCATCTGGGCTTCGAGTCAAAGCAATTGTATCTGACATGGGAGGTTGTCAAACCCTTTGGAAAGAATTACAAATTTCAACAAATAAATCTTTCTTTTACAGTCCTAAGTTCAGCACCAAAATATGGGTTTTTGCTGATATGCCGCATTGCATAAAGCTTTTGAGAAACCATTTTCTTGATAAAGGTTTTATTCTCGGAAATGGTACAATTATAAACAAAGACGTTATATATGAAGTACTCAATAAAGATATCGGAGAAATTAAACTGTGCTATAAACTGAAACCTCAATTTTTATCTGTAAAAGGGAACGAGAGACAGAAAGTAGCACCAGCAAAAGCATTATTTTCCTCCACAACGGCTAAAGCAATTATGCATTTGACTGGTAATGCTGCAACAAGTAATATTTTTTCAATGGTTGATGATTTTTTTGACATTATGAATAGTAGTGTACCATTACCCCCTAGCAATAAGCCTTTAAAAGCCTGCTTGAGATCAAGCAAATGATTTTTGATCTCAGAGTATGCGGAAAGAAGACAATGCTACCTTTTCAGAAAGGTATTATCATATCGATAAATTCGCTTTTCGGTTTATTTGACGACGTAAAATCTATAAATGTGAAATATATTTTAAACATCAAGACTGACTCAAGATGTATTAGAAAGCTTGTTCAGCCAGATTCGGGGTCTAGGGCGTGTTAATGACCATCCGTCTCCATCAGACGTAATAATTCGTCTGAAAAGGTTGCTATTGGCAAACAAATTGCCTAAATTGTCGTTAAAGACAAATGCTAATGACTGTGAAGATGTGAAGAAAGTTGAAGCATATTTGACAAAAGAGCTGTTGGAAACAGCTTTTTCTTCAAATGAAAAAGCACAAATGTTTGAGTCTTCCTTATACGAAGATGATTTAATTAATTACGAAGACATCTATGATGAATGTACGTCACTTCCTTGGGAAACCGAAATTTATGATTCAACGAAAGATATATCTGCATATGAACAAGAATCGCTCGCTTATGTGGCAGGTTATATTGCATATCGTGTGAAAGATAAAGATCCTACTTTGGGTGAAATATCAAAAAAATTCGTAGATATTCCTAACGACTCAAATTGGATATTTTTATTATCTAAAGGAGGATTAACTGTACCATCACCAGTTTGGATGGAAACGATGATGAAAATGGAAAATGCTTTCCGTTCTTTTCATGGCAGTTCTTTTCGAAAAGGTAGAGGTGTAATTCAGAATCTCATTTCTGAACTTGAGAAACGTTTTCCCTCCGTGAATAAGAGTGCAATTCGTTTATTTTGCCGTTTACGAACATTTATAAGGGTTTCGGCACTTGAATAGGAATGCAACCCTTGTATCGGCAAGAAAAGCTGACCAGAAAGCAAATAAATGGATAAAGAGTAATGAGGATTATCGAACCAAACTATATAGGAAAAAAAATCATGTAAGTTGATTCATATTATTCCTACCAAAAACAATAATTTGAATCATTACTTTTATTATTCACTTAATTTGTGACCTAATTTATGCACGTTTCAGATAATTATTTGGACTACTATATAAAATATTATATATTATTATATACTAATTTAGACTGCTAAATTTTACTATATAAAATAAACCATTAAATTCTGCATAAACATAAATTAGTATCAGAGCATATACTTTTAAAATGTAAGAATACATGCTATTATTCCAAAATATATAAATACTATTTTAAAATATTTTCATTATTTTTTGAGTAATTGACGTTAAATAATAATACTGATACTGATATTCCATAATAATGCTTTCATAATAGACATTGCAAAAGCTTACAAAATTCTACTACTCATTATCAACGCTAATTGAAAAGCAAAAATGGAAGAAGTGAAATTTGTTTCGTTTTAATGTGTTATAAAATCTATTATTAGCATTAACTATTTTTTTAATTAGATAGATGTGTAATGTCTTTAGCATGTATTCTCAAAATGTATTTGCATATTTTTATTTAATATTTCTATAATGCAAATTACTTTGCGACTAACTTATATTTTAACGCAAAAAGATTCTTCGTAAATGTAGAATTTACGTATGTTATCGGTGGGTTATTATTTACATATATTTAAAAAGATGATTATGAAAAAGAATTACTACATTTAGGGTACACTCGACCTAAAAAATTAGTTATGTTTACGCATATGTGTTAGTTAAAAAATAGTTATGTTTATGCATGTTTTACTTACGTTTTACACATATTAGAGTTTAACGTAAATACATTTCTAGTTCATATATAAGGTGCATGTATATTGCAATTTCATGAGCTAAAATCTCGGCTCATACTGGTTATTAAACTATTTTTCAAAGCGTTTTGATTCTCAAGCAAATGCTTAAGAAACTAACAGCAGAACTGACCAAGCGAACCCAACTACGTCATCAGTCTCTTCTTCCGGTTTCAGCCGCGAGAAGCTGATGAACTAACCCTTTAGCCCTGAAATTTCTAGTATCCAGAAACAAACTTCCCCATTAAAAATAATGGAAATTCGGTTAATCGTTCCGCACCCTCAAAAATATCAGCATAAAAAATCCATTCTTCTAATAAATAACATTAGTAAATAATATAACCGTAGTTTACCTTTATAATAGAGTCCGACAAATGCTAGCTTCCGACACCGACCTTAACTGCTTCTCGTTAATCCACACAGTAACCGCTTCTAGGAGTTTTGGACGTGCTTGGAAGTAATGGTAACTCCTTTGCCTACACCCAAGTTTCTTAATTTCTTCCTTCTTCTTCAGAATAGTGAAGATTGTCGATGGCGAAAGGCCGTAAGCCTTCGCCAATTCCGTCGTTCTTATACCACGCTTATGTTTATCTATGATTTTTTTCTTAATTTTAACGGTCATAGATACTTTCTTTTTCTTTGCTACACTATCTGAGGCAACAATCTTCTTGGGAGGCATAGTGAAATAATTTTTCATGTTAAATGTAATAAACAATTAACTCACAAGCGCACAAACACGTAGATCAAAGAACATTGAGTGATTTCACGAGGGAATTTCCCGAGTCGAGCCGGATCGGGAAATGGAGCCACAATTACCAACATCCTGTCTCATTGCTCATTACTCGAGTTAGAGACAAATGTTTTGCTCATGCTTTCCTCGTATCTCGAATTTCTCGTATATAGAGGTGCTCGTATCTCGAGGTTCCACTGTATTTGAAACACCTTGTCATGTATTTAGAAGATGAAACCTTCGACGGGAAAATGAGCATTAAGAATTTTTCCAGTGTCTGATAAGGTAATTTTTCTGCATTTTTGACATAATTATGATTCAATAAATAGGATAACTTATATAGAAATGCTAAATTTTCTCAAACTGTATGATGCCATGCTTGAAAATCACCTTGAAAGAAAGCACAGTTTTCCATAGAATTATTCAGAATGACCGTTTATAGGTTTGCATTTGAAACGTTCTCACAAAAACTACTAAAAATAGAGATTTTACTGTTTGGTTTAATCTTTTTACAAGAAATCACGGTCTTAGTGAGTGAATCACAGCTATCTGCATGCCTCAGCTAAATGATAAATGATAAAAGAAGAGATCCAAGAAGTGTTTATAGGTTTCTCTGACTTGTCCGAAATTTTACCAACTGTTGTCTAAATCTATCTTATTTCACCAAAAACAATGTTTAAATTATTGTCAACATTTTCTATGATTTGCGGCAGCTCTAACAAGGAAATGACTCCTTTTATAAGTATCTTTATTCATTCAAGATGTTTGTGAAAATTCATAGAAATAAATACAAATTCACTCTGCTATCGGGATTTAACAAAGTTTCTCGCCACTGCAAATATCGTCTGCACAAACAGTTCGCGTTGGCGCGTTTATTCATATTTTGTCAAACGATTTTTGGCATTTTAAAGAAATAGACTTGCTTTAGAATACTGTATTGTGACATTTGTAAAAAAATATCGTTATCATTAAGTACCAGGTGTCTGAAGTGTAACTATCAAGCTACCAATTAGAACCAGCATTTACTTCCAGTTCTGTTGTAATAGAGGACTCATCGCAGAGCCCTGAAGCAGATCCTGGCTTAGTCTGCAGTCTCTAGAAAAGAATTCATTAAAGTTGACAAAGAAACTGCTCCTCAGAAAATCTTCAATCCAGGCAACTGCC